TATTTTAGAAATTTTCAAGAATTTTTAAAGATTTTCGAAGTTTTTTCCGGAAATTTTCGAAAATTTTTTTATGGGTGTAGATCTCCGTAGATCTCCACCAAAAAATTTCCTGATGTAGCACATTTCCCCATATTTATAGTAGATCTGAATCCAAGTTATTACTGGTCAGAGACTACTTAACATGGGTTTTTACTTTTTACACTGGCCCATTAAGTGATGGTATTATGACAGTCAAGCAACTGATGCTTACCATAATAACCCCTGTGAATTGGTCCAACAGGTTTATACTGCCATTACCCGGTATTGAACTCGCAACCTCCTTACAGAAGTGCTAGCCATTTATCAATATGCTATGTTTCCATAAGAACCATTTATAACAAAAATAAAATGATTAATAATTTTAAGTACCTATATATATTGTTTAGAATATATTGTTTATATATTTAAAATTTTATATAAATTGTTTTTGTTTTGAAAAAGTTATATATATTTATATTATATAAATAATATTTCAAAAATTTTTGCACCATACTATATATTACTTTGGTAGTTTTATTTAATTGAAGTGTAGTATTGTATATATTTATGGTTTTAAAATTGAAATCAAATAGAATTGCAAAAAATTATATGAGATTTGAAACACTATTAAAAATAATAATAGATTATATCACATCTATTAAATCTATTAAATTTAATATAAACCTGAAAATCAAATATGGAATTAAAAAGAATTATTTAAATTCTTATATATACTTATTAGAAATAGTTAGGTTATTGTTTAAAATATACAATAGTATTGATAATATATTTTTTAATAGTTGATTGATTATAATAATTGTATTGTTATATTGATATGATTAATAATTGATTTGTTTATTGATAATATGATTCTGTTTTAATTATTGTTATTGAAAAATATTTTGTTTATATTAATTAGTATATAATATTTTGATTGTATAAATTTGTTTAGATAATTAATAATGTTTGATTAATTAGATTTAAAATATTAATTAGTTGATAAGGATAAACTGATTATGAAAAAAAATATTTGAATTTTTTGTGATATAGCAAAATATGTTAGGCAATGATGAAAAGTAAATATTAAATATATTGCTAATTCTTCAAATTAATAATATAAACAATTTTAATATAAAATTTGATTTTTTGGTTTATAAAAAAGATCTTTAAAAAAAGAACACAATTATTTAATAAGATAAGTATATTAGTAATAATTAAAAATAAGAAAAATTTCAAGAAAAATTTATAAAAAAGTAATTGTTATAAGAAAAAGCAAGACTTTTAAACTTGTTTTTTTCTGATCAGAGGTTCCATTCTGATGCATCAGTATACTTTTTTAATTTTTTTAAGATTTTTGTGATAAAGATAAAAAATATATAAAGAACTTTGGAATATTAATAAATATTTGTTTTTCTAATTTTGAAAACCAATTATTATAAAAAAACTTTTTTAAAAAAAATGTGTATGAAAAAGAGTTTTTTTTTATAAAAAAAATTTTATATTATATTCAAATTATTATTATTAAGATTAAATGAGCTATATGTATAGTTTTTATTAATTAATATTGTAATCAAATTATAATTTTATTTATATTTAATAAAATTTTAAACAGTTAAAACAATTGTTATCAATTTTTTATTAAATTAAAATTTATATTAGGGCTTTTAACAATATCATTTCAATATCACTTCAATATTAATACCAATTCAATACTTAAATTTACTATAAATTAATATAAGTAAATTATAATTCATATATTAAATTTACTATAAATTGGTACCATTTTAATACCAGTTTAATATCAGTTCAGTACTTTTCAAAGCCCTAATTCACATATTTAATATTTGTTAAAAAATAAAATAAATTAAATTATCATATGATAAATATTTAAAAAATTCAATAATATTGTAATTATCATTTTTAAAAAATTCTAATTTATGTATATTAAATTATTTTTAAGTGTTGTGCATACCCATTATTATGATTATAATTATTCTTGTTCAAAAAATTTTGATTACTACTTTATATATTTTATTTTAAATTTTTATTTAGAAACAAAATATATATTACAGTATATCTTTTCAATTTTCAAAATTTTTTTATATTACATACTGTATACTCGACATGTCTTTATATATAAATGAATAATTTACGTGTAATGATTTTCTAATAATAATACATTATTTTACAGTTTTTATTGTTTATAAAAATTCATACGAGCGTGCAAAACATTTTAGTGAACCAACATGTCCGTTTCGAAAAAAAATCTCGAGGAATTGGAAGTTCTAAGAACCAAACTTGATGTCAAATTTGACATTATATCCTCAATGGTAGATTCATGGTTACCGCAAGCGGATTCAGAAGAGGAAATAAGAGAAGAAGAAGAGAATAGAAAACAACAGCAAGAGTTAACCAAGTCTCTACAAGAACGACACATGGAAAGGTAAAACACACCGAGTCTTCAGCTTGGAATCTTTATCAAAATTATTTATCCATAAATTTTTAAATTTAATTAGGATTGGGATGGGTAACATAAAATCTAAGTTAGCTTCTGAGATAAAACTAAAACGTAAATTAACAGAATTGAAAAACAGGGAGGAGGATAGTGATTCTAATGATAAGAATATATTACAAATTAAGTACAAAAAAAAGAAATATTATAAACAAGAAAAGAAGGATGACAACAATGATGAGGAAGATAGTAAGGTTGCAGTAGTATTGAAAAGATCCAAAATGAATTCAAAAAGTCCTAAAATGACTAGTGGCACGAATGAAGATGATGCGAAATCATCGTCAAACTCAAAAACTAAAGACTGTACGGGCGACTTCCTGTCAATGTATTTAGCCGAGAAAGAAAAGAGAAAAAAAAAGAAGTCTAAAAATAAAAAAAAAAAGGCGATTAACGCGTAAATGAGAAAAATTATTATTTCGAGATCATAAGTTTTTAAGAAAGTAATAATAGTAGTAACTTGTTAGAATTTCTATTAGAGAAAATTCAAATCGGGGATTTTTTTTTTATTTTTAAAAAATTTTTTTCAATTGATAAGATAATTCCAGTCATCAAACATTAAAAAAAATTAAAGTACTGCATTAAGCTCTGCATTACTTACAGACTTTGACCAGTTGCAACTTAAATTATGCAATATATCCACAAAGTCATACAGAAAATGTCAGTTGAATACGCATTAATGCTGTTCAGGATATTTCATAAACTTTCAATATCAAACCGATATGAAAGTTTGAAATTCCTTGATTCTGCAACGGTGAACATGTAATCTATCTTTTACATATTTCGAGTTCCTAAATTGATATCCTCTTAAGAAGTCCCTAGCGAATGTTGATCATGCGCGATAATAATCAGGTTTCTTAATGTTAACCCCGTATTCAGATAATGCGGCAGTAAGATCTTCCAAGGTTAATACTGTCTTGTTACGCTGATTATTCATTAAAACAAGAGAGAAAAGGTTATAGTTTTCTAACGTCTTCTCCATTATTGTTATTAAAATAATAATACCTTTCCGACATTTTTTCGACTTTGCTGTCGAATTTTGCAATACTGAAATGCATCCGTCGCAATGTCGGCCAAAAATTTTTGAGCTGCTAGGGACATTAGTCGCATCCTTTTAGGGTAATTGATTTTGTGGCAATTAGGGTTGGTCAACGATTTATGAATTTAATATAGAACTTAAGATTAATCCTTATTCTTTTTTAAAAATAAAAATAAAAATAATACCAACACTCGAACATCATCGCATTGAACTCCGGCTCTGGAAAAATAATATTCTGTCACAAGTTCCGGAATCTTTTAGATCGAAATTAGAGTTAATATTATTGTATCACGATTAAAATGCGAGAGAAATAATAGAAAAATATATATAATTTTACAATTTATAAACAGAATTCATAAAACGAACCAAAGGCATATGTAATTAATTAAGAAAATATTAAATATCCCCTTACGAGAGGTTCGAATTCATCCAATAATAATAGAAATTCCAATAGGGATCGATCCTTTTCTAGAAATTCTTCCTCTTTACGACTAAGTTCTAATCTATTGGTTGTAGATGACGATGACCCTTCGACGTTGTCATCATCATAATTTTCGTCGTCGCCACTAGATTCGGGGTATTCTCCAAGAGTTTCGCCGCCAGAAGGTGGCTCTCCCATTTCTTCTTCTAGATCTGTCTTATTTGGTGATTCGACTAAAATTTCTTTTCCTTTTCCTTTGTCTGACTTTGAGCCATCAAAATCTATTTCAAAGTCTGACATTTTATTAAAGAGTTATAAGAGTTATTTGGTTTTATTTTATTAAAGAAATGCAGAGAGGGAATAAAAATTGTAGGTTGAGTTGCAGTGTCGCCTAAACCAAATCTGGCTGTTACACCATTTTCCTACTTGGGGAATCCTCAAGCAAATCTTTCAATTGTTATCTTAATATGTATCGTATTAAATATTCAATTGTACATGTTTTAAAAAAAATTAATATACTAAAATAATTTTAATCAAAATATATATTTATAATTGGCTGAATTCTAAAACCTACTCTGTCAATTTCATTTATTTATAGATGGGAAGCCGCATCAATTATTCAAAAGATTACCTTCTTCAGAGTGAAGCAATTGGAGATTCATTTTTTGCAAGTTTTGAAAGCGAACAACATTCCGACCTTGAATCCAGTTCATCCAGCACAGATTATCAAGCAACAGTAGAAGACGACCATTTTACGATCTCTGATTCTTTACATGGAGATTCTGTCATAGTTTCCGGCAACACTTCATCTACGGAACAACAAAATGCGACAGACGACTCGTTTGCCTCTAATTGTCCAATTTGCTTACAGGATTTCCAAGATCGGAGTTACTTGAATTCCTGTTTTCATTCCTTTTGTGCTTCATGCATTCGCCAATGGTTGAATGTAACTCCGAGTTGTCCTTTATGCAAAAGTAAGGTGGAATTCATCATTTATAATGTAGACGAGATTAAAGGAACATTTTCGAAATATTATGTGGCGGGTACCACGAATGAAAATGAAATGGACGCAAAAAAATTGAAACTTAAAAAATGGATTAAAGAGGTTTCAGATAACACAAAATTAGACTCTAAGAAAAAGTCGAGCTCATCTGTATCATTAAAAACAATAAAAGAAAGAGCTCGAGTGTACGATGAAAATCTCCTGGCAAAGGATATACCACAACGTCTGAAGCATTTTGCACATTTCCATAACAAAGACAACGATCGATTGCGACCATTCCTTTCACGCGATCTCAATGCTATTCTAAAAGACACTTATGATCAAGTAATAGAAGAATACGTGCAATCGGTAGTGGTGTCGTATTACCAACAGTATAAACCCCGGGAGGTAATCATAGAAAAATTAAGGCCCTGGTTGGGGAGGTTAACGGAAAAATTCCTGGATGAAATGTTTAAGTTTATTGAAAGTGGTCTTAAGATGGAGATTTGGGATCATTTGGTGAGTTATGACTAATTACTATATATAAGACGGAGTGATTAGTTTAAGTAATATTCAGCATCATTAGAATTCATTTTTAATGGTTGCTGGGATCACATCATTGAAATCATTGAAATAAAGATAATGAATAAGTCGGGTGTCACGTTTTACTGTGGGAAACATTTTTGTCTGGTAAAATTAAAAAAATCCTTTTAAACCAGTGTTTTATTTATTGTAAATTAATAAAAATAGAATTAAGCATATCTATTTATTTATATCTTTGAATAATTAAAAAAACTACAATTTAACGTATATACTGTATATACACGTATATTTGGTGACATTTTTTTATAGATTAATTATTAAATGAAGTTTTTAAATATTTAGTTTAATATAATCAAAAATTGTAAAAATATAAGAAATTTCTTTAATAAATTAATTCTTAATAATACAGTATATTATTAAAACTTGTCAATGTTAAACTTTATATAAATAAATTTATTATGAATTATTTTTTAATCATTTTAATATATCAATTTATAAAATACAAATAATAATAATAAAAACAATTTTTTAAAAAATTCAATTTAATTAATTGGATTTTTTTTTATAGTATTAACTTTTTCAAAGAATTTTACTTTATAATAATTTTTTAAATTCTAAAATCAAGTTTTTTTTTCTTTCTTTATTTTATTCATTTTTAAAAAATCTCAAGAAAAAATTCAAACCATTTATAATTTTACATATCAATATAAAATTAAAACATGTCATATATAATTTATAATTTATTAAATTTTATATATTGCAAATTAAATTTCATTTATTTCAAAAAAACTTAAACTGTTTATTTTTCAAAAAATCAATAATAATATAAATACAAATATGTTTTAAAATCAATTAATATATTTTTAAAACAAATCAAACATGTTTAAACTTTTAAAGTTAATATACAGTATATTAAACAAATAATATTTTTATAGTTAATATATATTGTTAATAAAATAATGTATATAATATTATATACTATATAAACAAAAGTATTGCATATCTTAAATTTATTATTATATAATATATATATATAATAATTTTATTTAAAATTTTAATATGTCATTTTTTTTTTTAATAGTGGAATATATGCAAGGCATATAATCTTTATTGATACATTTTATATCCAGACAGATATCAAGTGTCTCTATAAATTAACCAGAAATTAATAATACATGAATACCCGTCATGTCTTCTACAGTTAATCTGCAGATTAATACTGTATTAGTACCTATATTACTATAAGTCTAGCTATGCCAATTACTTATAACCCAACTATGCATCCATTTTAAACATCTCAGAGATGTGTTCATACATCAGGTGGGACTTTCTGCAAGGGAAGAAATCCTACCACTAGTTTAAAACCCATCTAATCTACTAAGTCCATATTGCAGAAAGCAGTATAGTATAGGATATTATTATAGAAATTAACCCCAGTCATTCCAATTACCTT